TGGTCCTGTACTCAGATGGCCTTTGCAAGTCCCCTCACTCCTTGCTGACGGCCACACCCCACCCCACCCCTCACTGACGACCACGCCCCACCCCGCCCCTTACCGCCACACTCCCATCCCGCCCCTTACAGCCTCGCCCCACCCTGCCCCTCACTGCCGGCCCCACCTACCTCTCTGCTGACCGTGCCTACCCCTGCTGCTCCCCGATTGCAGGTTCATCCACGACTGGGTGTACAGCGGCGTGTTCAGAGACGCTTATGGCGAGTTCATGATTCAGGTGAACCACGAGTACCTCAGCTTCCGAGGTAGGTGGCAGCTGGTTGCGGGGGCAGGGGTCCGTGCCTGTGGGCCTGGGCTCAGGGCCACGGCCATGTCGGCCACCCTGGTGTTCTCCCCACCTTAGATAAGTCGTACTGGACACATGGCTACGTGCTCATCTCCAAAGAGGTGGAGGACTGTGTTCCCGTGTTTCTGAAGCACATTGCCCACGACGTGTACGTCTGCGGGAAGACCATTAACCTGCTGAAACTCTGCTGCCCCCGGGTGAGGAGGGGCTCATGCATGGGGAGGGGAGGGGCCAGTCTTCCCCGGGGCTGAGTCTGAGGCTGGGGCTGAATGCTGGTGGCTGTGCCTACATCGCCTTTGGCAGCATTACCTCTGTTGGTCCGACGTCCCCGTCCCCCGGATCTCGGTGATTTTCTCCCTCGAGGAGTTGAAGGAGATTGAGAAGGACTGTGCTGTCTACGTCGGGCGCATGGAGAGGGTGGCCCGCCACAGCTCTGTCAGCAAGGAGGAGAAGGTGCGTGGCACCATGGGTCTCGGGGGCTTTCTTTGCCCCACCTCTGCTTCCTGGGGTCTCAGGTTGGTGGGGTGGACCGTGAGGGCTGTGCAAGATGGGGGCCTTCCTTCTGGCATTTTCTGTCCTGGCGGTGGCCGGGGTGGGTGCCAAGGGGGAGCTGAGACGAATATCCTGGAGCCAGATGCCAGGCAGGGGCTCTGTTCTCTCCTCCTGGGTTTGGGTGGCTCAGCCTGAAGCCCAGGTTTTGCTGGCGTGGGAAACTATGCTGGGGCTTCC